AAAAAAAGATAACAACTCATTTCTATATATCGAGCTTTATATCATGGTCGTACGTGTTAGATCTATTCTTGTTGCTGCAACAAATGAGCAAAAGGGGATGTACACGAGCGCGAGAATAACAGAAGAAGAGGAAAAAAACCCAAAGAACTTAGTCGACGTCTGCCCATCTGCAAGCTATTTGTTGTTGTTGTTTATAACACAAGCGTGTAGAACACACCGTATGAGATAATGATTGATTCTGGAAAAAAGAAAATATAACCTATAGAAGTAACGAAGAAGAAGAAGATCATCATCGTAGAAAGTGAGAATATCCTTTTCTTGCTAAGCATAGGAAGAAAACGAGTTCTGATAGTATGCTATGGCATCAATCGTTTATACTTGCATATATCTTATGAGAAGCGATGATCTGTTTATGTCATTTTCTATGTGTTTATAGTGTAAATCTTGCATCGAAGTTCTTCGTTTTCTTTGACATCATTTATATAAGTGAGAACAGTTATAGATCAAATTATTAGTTGTGAGGGTGGCATTGGCCGAGAAGTACAAGGAAAAAGAGAAAGAGTCTAGATTGCCATCTGTTTTCTAGTGCTATTGCATATATTCCTTTTCCTTTTCCTTTTTATGTAATAGTCCTATAGATAAGAATAAACCTGTTTATTTCGGAATGTGTATATGTGCAGCATGTATATATGTATGTGGTGGGATTGTTGCTTGATGCTCGCCTTCAACACTATCGATGATGTACTCTCTTATATGTGGTCGTTGAGGAAAAAAAAAGAAGAATAATAATCGGAAGAAAATATACATTCGCCTACGAAATCTATCGTTTTACTCTATATCTATAACAAAAGCGAAGTTTGTTTTTTTATATTCAAACAGCATTGAATACTGTCTTTGCGTCGCATTTATATATATATCTATTTATCTATCTATTTATATGCATCTCTAGACAAAAAAATTAACTTAATTTAATAATTGTCTCTTGTGTATCTTCATCTGAAGGTACGGAAAGTAATAGCAATATGTTGTCCGATCTACTCGTTAAAATGTCACCTTCGCCACCTTCGAATCGAAAACGACATATTGAAACTACTCAACAACATCAACAACAAACATCATCAACGAATACACATGAATATGAACAAGAATTTGAAAATCGTCGACATTCATCATTTAGTTCATCAAATACAAATAAACGTTATCGTCCATTACAATCTTCACTTGAACGTGCACACTCAATAACACGTGACGATGAATGTCGTCGACGACAATATCCAAAATCTATTGATGTTTTTATTCCATTTGATCTACTTGAGAAAGAACGTACTCAACAACACCAGCAACAACAACAACAACAACAACAAAGTACAAAATCTACAACAATGACACGAAGTTATGAATGTGAAGTTGAACAAAAACGACGTTCATCATCAATGAGTAATAAACAACAACGTAAAACAGATTTTAATGAACAAGAAGAATATTTACGTTGTTTACGTGATTTAACAGAAGAATATGAAAAAAATAAACGACAAAAAAAATCTGTTGATAATCGAAAGAAAAAAACAACTATTGATACACAGGAAGAATATGAGAGTATTGAAGAAGTTTATCATCAACGAATACCAGCAACAACAACAACAACGACAACAACAGAAGAAATTATTCAACGTTCAGCATATCAAATACCAAAATTACCATTGACAACATCAACAACAATGAATAGAACATCATCATCATCAATGAATCGTATAAATCAATTTGAAAGACAATTTGTTGATAATTTTGCAATTCGTCCACTTCAACAACAACAACAACAAACAACAATATCATATTCAGGAAGAAATGAAAATGAACAACGTTTAACAGCAGCACAACGTTCATTTTCTGAAGAATTACTTTATAAACGTTTAATACCAACAGCTAAACAATTATATACAACACCATCAGCAACAGCAAGTGAAGCTGGTTTTGTTACAAGTGAAGAAGATTTAACAACAATGGAATATCGTCTTAAACGTAAAGAACGTTTAAAACCAATACGTATTTTTTCATCAACAAGTTCAATACCAGGTGAAACAAGTATTAAATATGTTCGTACAGAACGTCAACCTGTTGAACTTCTCGTACCAAAACCACAAATAGTAACAACACAAGGTGAACATTCAACAACAGTTGTTAAAGATGTTCGACGTTCAACAGGAAAAATTACAACAAATGTTCATCAACAAAATCAACGAGCAACTATTGAAGGTGAACATGAATTACGTATTATTGAAGAACCAATATCATCTGGTCAAACATTACCAGTTGAATTTACAATACCAAAACCAGTTGAAATTTTACCATCTGAACATTCATCGACATTTGTTGTTGAATCAAAAAAAGGTGGACGTTTTCAAACACTTGATATTAGTAGTGCATTAACACGTGAACATACACTTACTGGTGAACATGAACTTCGTGTTATATCTGAACCTATATCATCTGGTTTACATAATAAAGCAGTTGAATTATTATTTCCTAAACCACCACTTCCACCTGCACCAAGTCAACATTCATCAACAGTTGTTAAACATACACGTGCAGCTCCATCAAGTCTTATAGTTGATAATATACAAACAACATTAAAAGGTGAACATGAATTACGTTACGTTGATAAACCAATACAATCAGGTCCAGCTGATAGTGTTGAATTAATTGTACCGAAAAGTGTTACAGAAACAGCTGAACATACAACAACAATTGTAACTGAAACTCAACCACAAAGACGTGTTTTAGAAATAACTGGTAGTGGAAGAAAAATGGAAAGTGAACATGAAACAAAATTCTTTCGTGATTCTGTTCGTGTTGAAGAAGAAGTTGAAGTTCGATTACCTAAACAACAAATTGAACGTGCTGAACATACAACAACAATTGTTAAACATAGTCGTGGTAAAGGACCAATTATTGAAGTTGATTCAACACATCGAAGAATTGAAGGTGAACATGAAACAAGAATTGTTGAAGAATCAGTTGAAGCTAGAGCTAATTCAATGCAATTATTAGTTGCTAAACCACAATTACCAGCAGAACATAGTACAACTATTGTTAAAGAACAACGTGGTAAATCACAAGTCTATTCTATTGATAGAACACAATCGATTCCGGGTAAGAGATTCGAATATAAACAATCTAGTTTGTTTTATTTTCTAAATAGGCGAATATGAAACAAAATATTATGAACAACCCGTTGAAGCATTTGGTGAAATGCAAGTTGTATTTCCTAAACATCAACCTGTAATTGGTCCACTTGAAGGTGAACATATGTCAACATTAATTAAACAAGTTCATGGAAGACAAATTGTCTATGATGATCGTCTTCGTGAAATTCCTGGTGAACATTCATTAACAGTTATTGATAATACTCGAGTAGATAGAGGTGCTGAAAGTGAAGTTGAATTTATTGTACCTAAAACACAAATGAGACGTACTGAAGAATATTCTAGAACTAATATCCAAAATCGTTCTCAACGTCCAGTAAGTTCTAGTGATTATGATGAAGTATTTGCTTCGTCAGCTGGTGAAGAAGAAACAATTCGTCGACGACGTTATCGATATGATGAAGAAGAAGAAAGTGGTTGGACTAGTGGTGGTGAACATACAACAACATATGTTAAACATGCACGTGCTAAATTTGAACCTGTTGAACTTGTCGTAGATAAACCACGAATAATGCCTAGTATATCAACATTAATTGCTGATATACAAGGACCTGCACAAATAACATCAATAAGACCTTCAACAGTTGTTATTCCAGAAGATAGTTCAGTTAAATTAAATATGGATTTAAATAGTCAAAATATTCAAGAACAATATGATGAAATGGAATTAGTTTTTGAAAAACCACTTGTACGTGATAGTTCAACAAAATTATTAGCAACTATTCAACCAGGTTTAGAAATAAAATCATTTCGACCAACAACAAATATACAACAACAAACTAAAACTATTGAAGAAAATAGTTCATCATTAACTATGCAAATGCAACAAGAACAAGAAGAGGAAACATTAGAACTTCGTATACGTAAACCACATATTCAAGAAAGTTCAAGTGTTCTTATAGCTAATATTCAACCTGAATTAGGTATACAAGGAGGATTAAAAGCTAGTCCGTATATTCCACAACCAATTGAAGAATCAAGTACAGCATTAACTATGGAATTAAATGCCGATCAAGAAATAGCACCATTTGAATTAATTATACCACGTTTTGGTGTTGAATCATCAACAAGTACAGTTGTTGCTCAAATAGCACCAACTATGGCTGGTATACGTGCTAAAGTTGATGTACCACATGTTGAAAAATCCACATCAAAATTTGTTCTTGAACAAAAAAAACGTTTCGATGAAGAAGTTGAATTAATTATGCCTAAACCAAGACGTATTGAAACAAGTACAACAACAATGCTTGCTGATGTTGAAGCTAAACTTGAAACAAAACAAATACGTCCAAGTCAATATCAATCTGAAACATCAACATCAACATTTTATTTAGATCAAACAATACCAGATGTTATACCAGAACCAGTTGAAATACGTCTAAGACAACCAATTATAGGTGAAAGTTCAACAACATTATTAGCTAATGTTAAAGCAACATTAGATACACAACAAATAAAAGTACTTGGAAATCAATATCAACCTATGCAAGAAAGTTCATCAGCTTTATTTATTGATACTATGTCGAATCAAATTCAACCATCTGAAGTTGAACTTATTCTTCCTCGTCCACATATACAAGAGAGTACATCTGTTGTTTTCGCTGATGTTCGTCCAACACTTGATACATCACAAACACATATTGTATTTCCACAACCTATACAATACCCTGTTAAATCGAGTAGTCAACTTATTTTACAACAAGATGAAATTGAAATAGCACCTGTAGAATTACATTTACATCGACAACCTAGTTCACATACACTTGTGGCTAAACTAGATGATACACGAACGAGAACCAAAGATATGTATGTTTTAGGTACTGGAAATACTCAAGAACAACAACAATATGGATATCAAACGAGAGATAGTTCATCAACATTATATACAGATTATAATAATAGACCAGTTGATACAAGATATACTAGTGATAATCGTAGAGTATCATCAATGTCAGAACAACAACGACGAGAATTTCATTCGAAAATGACAACAAGTACTAGTGGCGGTGGCGTTGGAGTCTCAGACAATAGTTCAACTTTTATTACTGGTAAATAAAACTATTTGAATTTCGTACTTTATTTATATATATATATTAATATTTATCTAGAAATTGAACCACGTCAATTAGAACCAGTAGAATTTATTGTATCTGGTAGTTTAACTGGAAATAATAATAGATTAGAACAATATTCAAGTGGTGGTACAAATCATTTAACAACAACTACAACGACAACATCAACAACAAATAAACGAACAATAGCATCAACAGAAAATACAAACTATGATACAACAAAAAATATTGGTTCAAATGAAAATTATGCACCATATTTTATTAGTTCTTTACATGATCAAACAGTTCGTGAAGGAGAATCGGTACTTTTTGAAATTGTTGTATCTGGTACATTATTTATAGAAAAAAAATTATTTTCTTAAGTCTCACTGTTTTCTTTTTACATTTAGCTTTACCATTAGCAGAAATCATATGGGATAAAGATGGTGAAATAATCGGTATGGATTCCGCATTTCGTATTGATTATTATAGTGATGGTCGAGCAACACTTTATATTCAAGAAACATTTATCGATGATCAAGGTTATTATACATGTACGGCAGTAAATTCATTAGGATCATGTCGTACAACAGCACGTCTTATTTGTAAATGTAAGTTAAAAATTCTAATATAAATAAATAAGAATAATTTTCTTTTAATTAAGCAACAAATGAACGTATGTCACCAACACGTCGTCAATTAAATACATCAGCTGTATCTTCATCTGTTCAATTTCAACGACAGACAAGTGGACCATCACAACAAGCAGCTTCCTATCGAGTTTATTCACATTCAGAACCATCATTAACATCTCGTCAAGAAAGTCCATCAAAAATTGTAACAGAAATTACAGAAGAAACACAAGTTATACAAATACCTCCACAAAAACCACAATATCAACAACATAATGAAATTAGTTATACCGTTCAAGGTAAACAACCAAAATTAGAACCAGTTTCATTTCAAGTTTCAACTATTAAAGAAAATATTCAACCAAATATAATAAATGATGGTAATAATGATCCAAATCCATTTAAAATTTTTGGTGCAAAATTACGTAGTCGACCAACACAAGGTATTGTTCCGTCCTATGACGACCCAACAACGATGAATTATTCTCAAGAACAACAACAACAACAGACAAGTTCTTCAAATTTCTCTCAATATCATCCGTCTTCATCTCAACAACCCCATTCCTCTTCGTTTTCTTCTACACAGCCAAACTTCACAAAAGGACGTCAATAATATACATAACATAAGATGAAATACAAACTTTTATGTGAGAACAATAAATAAAAGTAAGTTCTATAACATAATCAATACATCTCGTAGATTTTCTCTTGTATAATTTAGCCTCTGGAATCTATCAAGAAATATATAGTTGAAGAGAAATTAGCAATACGGCTATCTCTTATTAAATCTTCAACAATTTCGAGCTCAAATTCAATGATCTCATCCTAATAATCAATATTAGATATAATTAATAGTTCAGTTAGATTAATTCTCCTAGAATCTATGTACTCTTCATGTTTATCAACAACAATATATTTAGAATATTAATGGATGATAAATAAAGACCAAAACAAAATCATTGATGTTGAGATCATATTCTTTTATTTTAAAAACAAAATATTCGACTCAATTGTTAATGTGATAGTTTCAGATAAATAATATCGAACAACAATTTTTTTCTAAAATTATTCTCAGGAGTTTCTATTTTTTTGTTCTCACAATGTTGTTTGTTTATTTCTTCTTTTGTTTTGTTTTTCTTTTCTTTTTTCTTTTATTTATATTATTGTGTCACTCGATGAACTTTTTTTAAATTATCAATCAAACATACCTCTCTATTTGATTTTTTTTTTCTTCTTTCTTTTGCATGTTTTACTATCCTTGTCTTATTTCATATTTAAATAAAAAAAAGATACTTTACAGCGATAAATTCTAGGATAAGTTAATATATATATTAAGTAGTTTTGTTTTTCTTTTTATTTGTCTTGTATACGAATCGTTTCGTTTTCTGTCTGCATGACACATAACCTTTGTTCTTCTTCTTTTTACTTGAATCCCAGTTTCTTTTTCTTGGAATTTGTTTTGTAATTACATACGAATAAAAACACGTATGAATTTCATTATAATAATTTTTTCATAGACAATAAGTGATCTGAATTGATATCGTCTTTTCTTGATCAAATAAAGATAAAATATACAGTATTAAATTATTATTTATTGAGAACAAAAATTACACATCTAAGGAAAAGCTTTTGTAATTCGTTCAATAAGAGTATAATAATCAGTTTTAATATGTTGAAAAAATGTACTATAAAAATTGTTACCATTTTTGCGATCAATCTTATGTAAAACTTTTTGTGCACATGATCGAAAATAGTCCATATTTAATGGATCACAAAAATAAGCTGTAAGTTCTTCAGTTGAACATGTTCGTACCATTTCTGATCGCCATTCTTTGAAACGATCATTGAGTGGTGGTATACGAGTAACTAATCCAGCTTTTGTATATTCAGCAGTCTTTTGAACATCATGAAAAGTTTTAATTAAACCATTGCATTTTGTTGTGTGTGAATTGTATAATTTTGAGCTTTGAGTACCAATACATGATTTTTCAAATCGTTTTTCATGTATCATGCTAAATAAATGATCAATTTCACTTGGACAACATTCTTTAACAATACGACATCGCAATATCCTTTGACCATGTAATATTTCATATGGTGCTTTAGTTAAATAATCTTTATGGAATTCTGCCCATATTACTGCATCATTAACATATTTTGATGATTCAAAGTTGACACCATCTTTTTTACCATGAATTGTGACAGCAGCAGCAAGAAAGAGAAGAACTAATTTAGTATACATTTGTATAATTTAACTGAATAGAAGAAAAAGAAAAAGAAATGTTAATTTATCAAATAAGAAATAATATGCTTACTTATTTGGTAACAATGATGTATGAAATGTTCAAATCGTTGTAACATTTATATAGAGATAAATACAAAGAATCAACATCCTTCGTCTTTATCAAATAGCAGTCAATTCAAACAATGAAGATATAGATGTGATTTCGTATTAGTCCGCTGTAAACCATTCGTGCTATTAGTACAAAACAAAAATATATTATTTTCTATCAAATGAAGAAGGTTAAATAGTAGAAAGAAAGAAAGAAAAACATATCAAAGAGACTTAATGTATACTTTAGTGTAGGGTATATTATTTTCTTTCTGTGCAATGTGTTTTCTTTTCTTTTTCTTTTATTTATATTATTGTGTCTCTCGATGAACTTTTTTTAAATTATCAATCATACATACCTCTCTATTTGATTTTTTTTTCTTCTTTCTTTTGCATGTTTTACTATCCTTGTCTTATTTCATATTTAAATAAAAAAAAGATACTTTACA